ATATCACTCCAGAACCCTAAAAAGCAGAATATTTTGAAGATACATAGCGGATCTCAAAAATCTTCAGAAAAAGTATAGAAAAAACCTGGCGTCAACAAAACTGGTTATTTCCAACGTGGTTCTCACTTACCCGATTCGTTTTTCAGTGAATTTCGGTGAAGCCATTACTTCAATGATATTGAATGCTGCCCAGGATATGTCGTATCCCATCATTTGTAACTGCAATCACACATTACTGCTCAAACTCTGACCATCTAGATGAGTACTGTGAGAAGAGGAAACTGCGCTACTGGTTGCTGGTGAATGGCCAAATTTATTCAGCAAAGATTAAGCTCAAGTAGTATAAGCAAGTAAAATGCAAGAGATCATAACAAGCATCACAGACAAACAAGAAGCGTCCTGCACGAAAATGTAAAATCGAAGTAGCAAAACTCTTTCCGATGACAGTTCATCGACGGGAATCGGGACAGCTTGAGAAAACCCACCCCAGAAACTGGACAAGTTACCCTCCACCAGATTTTACCCAGGCAGCAAGCAATTACAATCTGCGTCTTGCAGCTCAGGATCGAAAGAATTTTGAGTGTACGGAAGCAACTTCGTAATATCACTAACATGGAATACCCACAGTAATTGTACAAGCAGACTTAGTATTTATGGTATAATTCGCATTTTAGTCATAAAAATTACTCATATTTTCTATTTTTAAACCACTTTCACATCAATCTCGTGTTGCACAGACATTCCTAGTGATATTCAGATTGCTATTTCACATCTAAAAATTCCAACTTAGTTTCTTCAGTTGCAGTAATCCGCTGCTTTTTCAAGTGCCTCCGCCGTTCTCTAAGACAGTACTGGAGAAAGAAAAAGATATAACTATAAGTTTTTTTTTTTTTTTGCATTTTGTGCTGTACAAGTTGCAAAAAATGCATATTGTCGGGATCTTGTGTGTTTGTGTTTCGAGTGCATTTTATCCGGCAGTTTCAACTCGGGAATTAAAGAAGCTAGGCAGCTGAAATTTTAGTAGGATGTTCCCCTCGGAAAACATACACAGGCGACACCCCTCGCACATGCGACACCGCAAACTGAAATTCAGCCTTCATCTATCCCCGAATAT